AAGCACTACAAACCAGGGGTAGCAGGTGGTATAGTGGTTAAGGTGCTGGACTCCCACATGGCCAACCATGGTTCAAATCTTGGACCTGGTGGCTGGCTTTCTCACCTTCTCTCTGTTTCTCTGGTCAAATTTTAAAATTATAATCCAAAAAATTAAATAAATAATTTTTAAAATAAAGTACCACAAACTGGCTGCCTCAATACAATAGAAATCTGTTGTCTCACAGGTCTAGATGTTAGAAGTGCAAACCCAACCTGTCGCCAGGGCTGTGTGTCCTCTGAAAACCTGTAAGGGAGAGCCTTCCCTTGTCCTTTCTTACCTTCTGATGGTTTGGTGACAATTCTTGGAACTCCTTGACTGGCAGCTGTAGCACTTCAGTCTCTACATGCATCATCACATGCCGCTCTCCACACATGCATCTGTGCATTTGAATTTCTTCTAAGGACACCGGTCATACTGGGTGGGGGCGGACCCATCCTACTCTGGTGGGACCTCATTTTTTTGGGGGGGAGGAGTGGGAGAGGTTTTTGCTATAGGGCTCATGCACTCACCAGAAAGACAGAGATAGAGAGACAGAAAGTGAGAAATGAGCCCCCGGGGGGATGGCCATGCCGCAATCCCTTCTCCTCCATTCTCCTCTCGGGATCTTGGGAACGCATGCACATGTGCCTGGCGTGAGTTTTAGCCACCAGGTCTGAGACTCGAGCTCCGCTACATTATTGGACTCCCATGTGGTCAACTACATGAGAGTCCAGTAATGTAGCCACTACGCCATCTACTGGTCCCAACCTTGGTTTTAACTTATCTGCAGTGACTCTTATTTTCTTTCTTTCTTTCTTTTTTTTTCAGTGACTCTTATTTTCAAATCAGGTCACATTCTGAGATACCAGGGGGTTGAAACCTTTTGGAGGTGGGGGCACAATTCAGTCCATAACAAGTGCCGTGTTCCATGGACATACAGTGAGCACCTAAGTGTGCTGGCATTTCAATAGCATGTTCTCATGAAAGTGCTAGATCCAGTAACAGGAGGACAGGAAGGATATGCGGCACTGGGCCCTATCTTTACTTTGTGTAGGAAAAACAAACAGGACTTCAAAAAGTTACTCCATGTTGTCCTAGTCCCATGTGCCTGAGTTTGTCTGTGTGCTGTGGGTGTATGTTAGCACCTTTGATTTTTAAAAATACCCTACAAGGGCTGACCCCATAGCCCTAAAGGTTAAAGGAACTGTAAGTATCCTACATGTCTGACTGTGGTCCTGATCCTAGTCCCGTGGCTGAATAAAGAGATGTTTCTCATGTAAGTCTAGATGTTAGGATTTTTTGGTTTGGTTTTATAACTAAAACTCTTGAGTAGGCTAGAGAAGCCGTTGAATAATTCTATTCAAAAGTAGCAGATAGAGGCCAGCAGGTGGCGTGGTGATTAAGGCACTGGACTCTCAGATGGCCAACCACTATTCAAGTCCTGGACTTGAAATCACACCAGGCACATGTGTGTGCATGCTCAAAATGCCGGGAAGAGAATGAAGGAGAAGGGATTGCTGCGTGGCCATCCCCTTGGAGAGTGATTTCTCACTTTCCTTCTGTGTCTGTCTCTGACTCAGGTGAGTGCACATGCCCTATGGCCAAAACCTTAAGAAAAAAAAGTAACAGATACAGTTTACTGAATGTTACTTGTAGTGAACACTGTCAAAAGAGGAGAACACTCACTAAGAACTTACAAAGCTGGGGCCAGCAGATGGCATGGTGGTTAAGGCTCTGGACTCCCACATGGCTGACTGCAGTTTAAGTCCTGGACCTGGTGGCTTGCTTGCCCACTTTCCCTTTCTCTCTTTCTCTGACTCACCAGATTAAAACTAATGACGATGATGAATAAAATAATGTTTTAAAAAGACCTTACAAAGCTGGGCTGTTATCATGAGATCAGAACATAAAAGTGGATTCTTTTCCGATCAAAGGTTCTGTTTTGGAATTTGTTTGACTTATTTTACGACCTTGACAAAGTAATTTAATTTCTTTGTAGTTCATGTCTCACTTTTCACAGCAGAATACTTTTGGGAGATGCCGTTACTTAACAGGCACTCTGTTTTGCAATGTGATGTGAGGATTTTCATGAACTACAAAGTGGAGGTGCCAAATTTGGCTTCTTTTGAGGTTTTACAGTGGGGTATATTTTTTCATCATTTGTTTGACTTAGAGCAGAATTAGTCATTGTTTTAAAAGTTGAAGATAATATATTTTAATTTTTTTTCAGTTGTCTTTGATTTTCCGCCTACTTTGAAAATGATTCTTATCTATTGACTCATTTTCTAATAGTTATTATCTCTTTTAATTTAGCTCTAGTTTTTCTGTTGGGTCATTGGAAAAGTCATGACGTATTTTTCTTTTTTGTTATACAAAACTGTATCATGACTTTTGTGACAGCTCAGTAGTTTAAAGGGAAAATGCACTGTAGAATACATAGGCTCCTAGAATTTTAGCATTAAAAAAGACTTTAATCATGTAGTATAAACCCTAGTTTTTCTTTCTTTCTTTCTTTCTTTCTTTCTTTCTTTCTTTTTTTTTTAACATAGGGTGTATGCATTCACCTGAGAGAGACAGAGAGGGAAAGTGAGAAATCACTTCCGGCGGAGGGGGCGGGGGGATGGCCATGCAGCAGTCCTTTTTCCTCCATTCTCCTGTCAGGATTTTGGGCATGCACACACATGTGCCTGGCATGATTTTCATGCCACCGGGTCTCTAACTGTGATTAACCATGTGAGAGTCTGGTGCCTTAATTACCATACCACCTACTGGTTCCTCCCTTACTCTTTTTTGTGACGAGGTCGTTGAGGTTTATTTAAGTTTACATGTACATGTTATGCAACACATAGTCAAAACTAGTGTGCTCCGGTCTTCGATCCTGAGAAGAGGGCAGCCACCCTTGTACACGCCTGCTTATCATGAGTAGTAATTGCTGTACACAGGAGGATACAAGGGCAAATAAGGTCATAGACTAAGCGAATTCAGCATATCTGCAAATAAGCTTAGTACACTGAGTTCAATCTTACAAATACTACACAAATAAGATAATAATCTTGTCTTTAGACAGTGGCAAGGAGAAAACATCAAGGCAGCCTCATATAAGAGTCCATCTTTGGGCTAGCAGGTGGTCTTTCCCTCTCTTGATTTCCCTCTCCCTCTCCTGCTCTCCAAGTGTCTCTGTATACCACATCCCAACTCGTCCTTTATTTTATAGCTGACATGTTTATTTCTTCCATGAGAGAGAGAGAGAGAGAGAAAGAGAACCACCCCTACCAAGATCTTCACACCACCATCCACCCCCAGTCTCAACCAGCCCAGATGTGGCGCGTGTGCGTGCGTGCCCAAGATCCTGAGAGGAGGGAGAATGGAGGAGAAGGGACTGTGGCGTGGCCATCCCCCCAGGGGGTGATTTCTTGCTTTCTGTCTCTCCGTCTCTCTCTGTCTTTCTGGCAAATGCACATGTCCTATAGCAAAAACACCTCTCTAGAAAAAAGAAAAAGGATTGCACTAAGTTAAATCTTTAGCCAAGGAGGCCACATAGGTTTCTGTAATGGTGTAGGCAAGACACGGGACGGCCATGTTGAAGGAGAGGAAAGGATCAGTTAAGCTTTAAAGAATGTTCATAAGTACAGATTATAGAACATGTTGATTCAATTATAAAAATTAAAAGTTATGGAAGAGGTTAGCAGGACGTTAAGGTGCTGAATCCCATATCGCTGATTGTGTGGTTCAAGTCTCAGACCCAGCGGCTTGAAAATTACACTGGATTCACATGGAAGTGGGCCCAGAATACCCAGAGGAGTCTGAAAGAGAAGGGATTGCAACGTGGCTATCCTCCCACGCTCCCCACCCCTGGGAGTTGATTTCTTACTTTCTCTCTCTCTCTCTGGTGAATACACATACCCTATAGCAAAAACTAAAATTAAAAAAAAATGAAAGTGTCTATAAGGGCAAGAAAGAGGAGTCTAGGTTTCTGGGATTGACCAACTGTTACCTATAATAGTATCCAAGTACTTGATGGATTATTAGAAAAATTGAAGGTCATCAAATGCTTTATTCTTTGAGAAGCCTTTCTGATTTACAGATCTCTTAAGAAAGAAAGAGGGAAAGTGAGAAATCCCCCCACACACACACACACACCACCAAGGTGGAAAGCCATGCTGCACTCCTTTCTCCTCCTCCATTTGTCTCTTGGGATTTGGGGCATGCAAGCACATGCACTCTATGTTTTTTAAGCTACCTGGCCCTGGATTTGAACTACAAAGTGAACCATGTGAGATTCAGCCACCTTAACCACAATGCCACCAGCAGGCCTCTGTTTTCCTTTTAATGGCAGCAATTATCATTTCTACCTTAGGAGTAAGATCTAAAATGTTATAATTGCTTGTTCCTTATTCCCTCTCTTTTCTGTAGCCTTCAGATCTTTCACTGGAACAGAAATGGAGAGAAGTTCCTCTCATTTTACTTAATGCCCTGGAACCAAAGCCAACTCTATCAACGCTTAATTGAAAACAACAACAAAATCACCTACATGCTGAGACCTTTCTGAATCATCTTTAGTATTTTCTGGTTTTAATTGCCAAAGTGAGCATGCATTTACCTGAGACAGGAAATGGGAAAAGCATCCAGAGGACTCGTGTTTGTGTGATGTGTTTAGGGCTCATTTCTTCTGTAGAGTGTCACTTCCCATTTTTAACTGTTGATGGCCATGCATCGCCAAGGCCTTGGGTAACTCAGGGCAGTCAGGTCATCAGCCCAGGTAATGTCAGTGAGTTCCGCCGGTTTCTCTCAGTTACTTCCGTGTCATGGTTTCTCCCTCATCTTTCTCCACATTCGCCATTGGAGATGTTATACAGTGTAAATTGTGGGCTGATGGTAAATTGTAAGTATCAGAGTTAACATGGGTGTCTCACTCTTCATAGCAGATCTGCGTGATCCTCTTATGAGCTCATAGCTTCTTCATGTGCTCTTATCCACAGGATGAAAATACTGGAATGAAAAATAAGGTTCATCACATTGCCAAGGAGATCATGAGCTCAGAGAAAGTGTAAGTATCCAGTCAACAATTCAGAAGACCGTCCCCCTGCTACTGACTCATTTAAAACATTTTTTTCATTGCTGTTTTTTTTTTTTACAGGTTTGTGGATGTGTTAAAACTTTTGCATATTGTAAGTATCTCTTCCTATTTTCTCAAAGTCTAATACTATCCTTTCATACTTGCCCTACACTGAAAAGTTTTTAGCTTAATAACTAACTCAAATGTGTTACAGGTATATGCTTTTTAATACACAGTGACAAGTCTTCCAACTTTCTATTTTCACATAAAGTTTTTAAAGTGATGATATATCTTTTGGTACATTTGGAGAAGATATCTGCTGTCAGTAGAACTTTGCACTAGTCATGTATGAAGAATATTACTTTGTTCAAAACTGTTTCTCCTATCTGAATAAACTCCCAGAAACAGACACTTGGATAGACATTTCTACAACCGAGTTTTTAAAGTTTTATTTTCAATGTTTGTAATTGTGTGCTGGAACAGACCTTTGAGGAACAGTTGTGATATGTGTCTGGCTGCATGTTCACTTTTCTCACGCACTTCTTTGTAATTGCAAGTTTTCGCAAGTTTTATTGTACATTGGCAGTTGAAGTGCTTTTAGTGTACTTTATCCTAATTATATTTTGGCAAGATATTAAGACAACAGAGGGAAGGGGTAAATTAGAGGAAACAATGAAAGAAGAAATCGAAGTGAAAATGGGTTCTTATGTGGTATAATTACTAACATCATAAATTAAATATAATTGCTGAGAAATGGAAGGTTCATGAAATACACCCACTAATGTCTCTGTGAAGAGTATCATCATTTTCAGCTTTTCCTTTTTAATAGATACATATGAACATGAAAAATGAGTAACACTTATGGATGAATCACGTTTACCAAATGATTCCTTTGTATTCTGTTTATCATCCAGCAGAAACAAGGATGCCTAATTCCCATGTGAAAAAACTCTAGGTTCAGGGCCAGCAGATGGCATGGAGAGTAAGGCTGCTGGATCCCACATGGCCGACTGCGTGGTTCAAGTTCTAGAACTAGCAACTTGAAAACCATGCTGTGTGTGTGTGTGTGTGTGTGTGTGTGTGTGCATGCCCAAAATCCTGAGAGGAGAATGGAGGAGAAGGAATTGCAGCATGGCTATCCCCAAGGGATGCTTTCTTACTTTCTCTCTCTCTCTCTCTCTTTCTCTCTCTCTCTCTGTTCTCTGGCAAGCATACATACCCTATAGCAAAAGTTTTAAAAATAAAGCAAAAAAACTCTCTAGCTTTGGAAACATTTTCAAAAAAAATTCTCAACATTGTGGAATCATTTTGAAAGAATATTTTTCTGTGAATATTTTCTCACCTTAACTCGACTGTATTGATGAGTTCTCTTTTATAATTAATCATTTTAAAAACAGCACAGTATTATGTATCCAGAACAAATTGGTTAAGTTTTAAGAATAATGTCATCTGTTATACTGAATGTTGAAGCGAGGAGATTAATGTCTCTGTATTGACTGATATGCATGGCATTCCCTTTTGAAAAAGCAATGTAATACACTGAAGAGTTATATGTCATCCAATGTAATATAAAGAAGATTATGATGATAATAAAAATTTAAAAAAAAAGAATAATGTCATCTGTTGAAATGACAATATGTTTGATAAGTGAATGACTTTTCAAAATGAGCTCCTTGCGACCAGCAGACAGCCTAGTGGTTAAGGCACTGGACACTCCCACATCTCTGACCACGGTTCGAGTCCTGAGCCTGGTGGCTTGCTTTCTCACTTTCCCTCTCTCTCTCTGATCAAGTTAAAATAAATGAATGAATAAATACAATTAAATATGAATAATTTAAATAAATCCTTTTACATCTGCTATTGTGTCCTGAACATCCCCACCATAGTCTCAGATATGCAATACAATTAAGTACAAATGAGACCATAGTTTTTTTGGTAAGTTATTTGCTCTCTGATGGGAGATGGGTTTAAGACAAATATATTTAAAAATTTTTTTAAGTTATTTATTTAATTTTATTTATTCATTCATTTATTTTAATTTGACCAGAGGAAGACAGAGACACAGAAAAAAGGAAAGCGAGAAAGCAAGCCACCAGGTCCAGGACTTGAACCATGGTTGGTCATGTGGTAATGTCCAGTGCTTTACTACCACACCACCTGCTGGCTCAATCTTTTTTTTTTTTTTCTTTTTCTTTTTAACAAATATCCAAGTAGTATAATTTAAAAAAAAATTATTTTAGAAGGAGTAATTAGAGACTTTGGGATCTTTTTGAACAAAGATGAACTGGGTGTTACTTGTTAAGCAGTGCTAGTCATGGAGCATCTTTTGTCCACCAGTTTCTTAGGTTAAGACAGAGCCGACCCTGTATCCTACTGGTTAAGGGAAGTCAAATCGCATCGTTGACCATAGTTCAAATCTTGATCATGTGGCTTGTAAGACACACTGGATATGTGTGTGTGCATGCCCCAAATCCCAACAAGAAGGGAAAGTGGAGGAAAAGGGATTATGACATGACTATGCCCCATTGAGGAATTCTCTCTTTCTCTTAAGTCTCTTTCTCTGGCAAGTACATGGACCCTCTAGTAACTTCTAAAAAATAACATAATTACCTTGAAAAATTTGAGAGATTCAATGACATTTAAAAAATATTTCATATTTATTTATTTAAAGTGGAATATACCATCTTTATTTTCTTATGGCATTCTTTTTTCAATGATCAGTATACCTTAAATATCACAATGAAATTTTTAACACTACCTGGACATTCAGATGTCTGTTACTAAATAGGCTATATCTCTTAATCAAAAGGAAAAAAGGCATTATAAAAGGAATAGAAGGCTTCCTCAGTTCTCCATTTCTCTGTCTTAAAATCACTCCATCGGTTCAACAGAATACACTGTCTTTTGAGTCTTGTGACTCATTTAATTACCATTTCTTCTTTAGTTGTAAAGAATCCTCCTAGTTTTTATTGACGTGGCTATAAAACCTTCCCTTTTGAGCAGAGTTTCTTTCAGACTGTCTTTCTCTGAATGAAGTTCGTTGTCAAGGGCACCTTTGTCTGGTGGCTGAGGTGTTTTCCCACCTTGGTTTGGTATTTCCCTCTTTGTATGCCTATTTCAGAGCTCTCCATCTCAGCTTCCAGGACCTGGGGATCTTAACTGATGTTTATAGAATCATTTGCATTCACCAAATATCCTCTAATTAAATCTGTTTCTACTTCTATTTAGGGCTCTCTACATGTCCAGCGGCTTGCTAACTTAAATATTACATGAACTATCTCAATCCTCATAGCAACGCTATTAAATAAATGTTGTTTCTGATTTTTAAATGAGGACAGTGAGCTGACAGTCAGAAATAACCCTCTACTAAATGGTAAAGCTGGACTTGGAAGTCCTCTGTGTCTGATCCCTTGCACTTAGTGGTTGTTTAGAACTTGATTAAAAATTGTGACTTGAGGTACCAGCAGATGGCATAATGGTTATGTCACTGCATTCCCACATAGTTGACAGTGGTTCGAGTCCTGGACCTGGCATCTTAAAACATGCACATGCGTGTGTGTGCCCAAAATCCCCAGAGGAGAATGGAGGAGAAGGGATTGTGGTGTGGCCATCCCTTCTGGGGGGTGATTTCTTGCTTCCTGTCTCTCTTTCTTTGGTGAGCACACATGCCTTACAGCAAAAATCTCTCTTTAAAAAAATTGTGACTTGAAATCTCTTTCATACTGTGTAGGGTATGATGTTATCTTTAGGTGTATTTGCTTACTTTCGGAATTCTTGTGGTTGCCCTGGAAACCTGAGACATTCTAGTTTTTTTTATTTTCTAAAAATCACTTAGGATGTAATACAATAATTACTTATTAATATTATGAAAGGAGGCTGCAAACTTAAGATGAAGGATTGGCTTCTGTCATGTCCTCTGCTATTTTTCATTGATGATTATGCAAGATATCACCAGGTCTGCATATAGAGAGAGGGAGAAATAATTTCACTGGAAAAATATTTTCATTTCAAAAACAAAATCAGACTGCTAATGTGGGGACTTTCTCTCCCTCTCCTTTTACTTCATGGTTTCACACTCATTTCTGCATATTTATTATAGCTCTTTGACCTCAGCAGCTGCTTCGCTTTTGCTAAATATGAAGTGATTCTCAGTGTCTTTCTTGAGGGCTGAGAACCTTACAGAGTTCCCTGCCCACCCTGTGTCCATTTTGTCTTTGTAATACACTGTGTCATGAGAGTGTTTAAGTAATGCCCTGAGGTCAGCAAGCCCAGTCAGGACAGCTGGTAATTAAGTCACATACTCCTCTTTGACACTGGAGATATAAAGCCTGACCCCATGAATAAGGCCATCTGTTTCATGCGTCATTGCTTCAGATGTCCCTACTTGATTTTATTTGCATTGATTTTTGCTTAGGCCTTCCCCCAAGTCAGGGCTGGCATGACTAGTATGTTAATACCTCAATGAGATTCCAAATCGATTTAAAATTGATCTGGTTCTTATTTATAGGTTTTTTTTTTTTTTTTTTTAAGAATAATAAGAAAAGCATAGAAATTTTGTTTTAAAAATTTTTTGTTTTTTTTTTTTATGTTTTTTTTTTTTTTTTTTTTTTTTTAAGAAACATAAGAATAACATGGAACTTAAAGAGTTTGGATACCACATGGCTGACTGCACAGTTCAAGACCCAGTGGCTTGGGAACCAGCAGTTAGCGTAATGGCTATGTCGCTGGACTCCCACGTAGTCGACCGTGGTTCACGTCCCAGACCCGGTGGCTTAGAACTCATGCCAGGCACATATGCGTGCGTGCCCAAGATCCCGAGAGGAGAATGGAGGAGAAGGGATTGCGGCGTGACCATTCCCCCTGGCGGGTGATTTCTCGCTTTCTGTCTCTCTGTCTCTCTCTGTCTGGCGAGCTCACGCGCCCTATAGCAAAAACCTCTCCCCCCCACCCCCCCCAAAAAAAAAAGACCCAGTGGCTTGAAATAGATGCTGGGTGCATGTGTGTGAAAACCCAAAATCCTTAAAGGAGAATGGAAAAGAAGGGATTATGGTGTGGCATTCCTTCCTTTAAACCTGTAGGAAGAGCTTTCTCACTTTCCCTCTTTCTTTCTGT